GGAGCTGATGGAGCTCATGGAGTTGATGGAGCTCATGGAGCTCACGGAGCTGATGGAGCTCACAGAGCTGATGGAGCTGATGGAGCTCATGGAGCTGATGGAGCTGATGGAGCTGATGGAGCTGATGGAGCTGATGGAGCTGATGGAGCTCACGGAACTGATGGAGCTCATGGAGCTCATGGAGCTGATGGAGCTCACGGAGCTCACGGAGCTGATGGAGCTCACAGAGCTGATGGAGCTCATGGAGCTCACAGAGCTGATGGATCTCACAGAGCTGATGGAGCTGATGGAGCTCACGGAACTGATGGAGCTCACAGAGCTGATGGAGCACACAGAGCTGATGGAGCTCATGGAGCTCATGGAGCTGATGGAGCTCACAGAGCTGATGGAGCTGATGGAGCTCACAGAGCTGATGGATCTCACAGAGCTGATGGAGCTGATGGAGCACACAGAGCTGATGGAGCTCATGGAGCTCACGGAGCTGATGGAGCTCACAGAGCTGATGGAGCTGATGGAGCTCACGGAGCTGATGGAGCTCACAGAGCTGATGGAGCTGATGGAGCTCACAGAGCTGATGGAGCTGATGGAGCTGATGGAGCTCACAGAGCTGATGGAGCTCACGGAGCTCACGGAGCTCATGGAGCTCACGGAGCTGATGGAGCTCACAGAGCTGATGGAGCTCACGGAGCTCACAGAGCTCACGGAGCAGGAACTGCTCCAGGACTTCCCGACTCGTCAGGGATGCAAATCAAAGCCAGCGATGAAGATCACGGAGGGGCAGCCTGTCCCACTGAAGGATCTCCTCCCCAAGCCCCTGGCTCGTGGTCCTCGTGCTCCAAGAGTGAGGAGAAGGACTTTGGCCATGGGAGGGATGGGGAAGGACCCATCACTGGGAAGAACCCAGGGATCCCCTGCCCAGGTCCCAGACCTCCTCTTGCTGCTGGAGCTGGGGAGGTGGGCCCTGCACAGCTCCTGCAAAGCACTCCCTGTAAATGAGATAATTTAATCAATTACATCTCCTAATGCACTAAGCCAAATGTTTCATTTTCTGCTCCTGCACATCTTAAATTATCTTCAGGTGCTTTATGAAACTTAATCATAGTTAATAGAAACTTCATTACCATCAAATGTGCTTTCAATAAATGTTGTGTAACAGTGGCAGGAGGTGGAGTGAAAAATGGGCTGCAATTACCACAAACAGGGATCCTGGAGCAGAAAGGGATAAAACTGATGGTGCCTGCCAGGGTCCCTCCCGCCCCAGGGCCGGGAGGATGCACCTCATTAAGGAGTAATTGGTGGACTATAAATGTTTGCTTTTCTAGTTTGTTTGGTTGGTTTCCACTTTGTTCCCTTCTGGGAAAAAATAAAAGCAGAACCTCACTCTGCTCCCCCAGATCTCCCACGCCTTCCTCCTTCCCTTAATTTCTAATCTCCCATGGAAGGAATTCTCCAAAGGAAAAGATCAGAAGGTGAAGAGGTAAAAATTACTTTAAAAAAACCCCAGTGGCTGTTTCTAAAGAAACACCAAAATCCCAAGCTAAAAAGAAAGGCTCCTTCCTCATGGAGTTGTGTTCCGTGGAATAATTCAAGGAATACTGAGTCACTCAGGGCTTGCCCTTTTAGCATAAAGCTGTTTAAAACCCCACTAAATCCTGAGAAGGATCCTTTGCCTCTGAGCTCGGCGTTCCCCTGAGGTTTCTGGAGGGTTTTCCTGGCAGTGGGGCAGCTCTGGGATCACCGGGGCAACTCCTCCAGGTGCTCCATGGAGCAGAGCAACGAGCAACTCATTCCAGGGAAGGAACCTCAGCGGGAATTCCTGTGAGAGGTTTTAATCATCACACTTATAGACCAGTGTCCAATTCGAGCCCTGGAGATACTTCCGAGTCAATGAAAAGAAAATTCTTCTCCTCAGAAAGATTTTGCTGGAGTCAAACCGCTGGCATTTTTTTTGGATTTCGTGCCCTCCCTCTCATCTCTAAGCCATGTACAACCGTTTAAAGGTGGGAAAGTGGAATTGCCTGACACGGGAATCGATGGAAAAGGAGATGCTGAAGCACTTGAGGAGATTTAGAGCCAGAAATGGCAGTTCCAGTGAGCACCTGAGGAGTGCCTGACACTGCTTTGTGGGGCAGGAGATCCTGTCCTGGGGCTGGAAGCTTTTCCTCCAGCATATTTCTGCATCTCTCACACTCAATCATTTATCATCCCGGCAAGGCAGGAGGAGTAATTCACATTTTCAGCACTTTCCTTTTTTAAAGCAGTGATCCAAGGGGAAGAGCTAGAGATGCTTTGTGCTGCAAAACCCACGAGCTCTCCGTGGCTCCCTGGGAAGGGAAAGAGCCCAACTGTTCCTGGGTTTCTGGAGATCCATCCCCTCCCTCCTCCCGCCTCACTCATTGCTCTAATTACCCACAGAAATTAACTCAACAATAGCATTTCGTAATTAATTCCCTGTAACAACAAAGCAACTTGGGAATAGGAAATTGGAAGAAATAGAAATGTAATTATTGCCTGTGCTTCCCTTTCTGCACCTGGTGCTGGGGAACAAAACCGAGCTGTGGGAGTGGGGCTTTGGACTGGGCTTTGTGTGGTTTTGGTCCGATCTGAGACATTTCCAGTTCCCTTTGTGATCCTGGGGCTTTGCATTTGCTTTTTCTGTCCGGCCTTTCCCATCATTACATTGTCAGCCAGTATCTCACTCTCTGCAACCCCTAAGTGAGCGTAAAATTCTCTTTACAGCATTTTTTAAGGGGGGATCTCATGGCAAAAAAATTGAAAAAAAAGGCTTCAGGGAAAAAAAAAGCTTCTCTTTTAGTGACTGATTTGTTCAAACCGTGTGGCAGTGGAATTGTTCTAGGAAGCTGAATTTTGTAACCTTATAAGTTTGTTCAGTGTGGTTTCCTGGCCTGACACAGAAGGTGGATTCCTCCTCAAAGCTGATGTTTCCATGCAAACCTGGTGATTTTTCTCTTTCCTTCCCAGCAAGCCGTGAATGTCTTAAAAGCAGAACCGTTTGTCATTTGCAGATTACTTGAAAATGCAGCAGAAATTTTGCAGTATTTTCTTGGTTAAGTGGTTCTGGTAAAATTGATATCCAAGCATTTCATTGGGGTCGAGTGGGATGCTGGAAGCCCGTGGCTGGGGCTGACTGGAGACTGGGGATGAGAGGGATGATTTCTGGTAAGGATGTTTGAACCAAACCTTTGATTTTACTTTTGATTGGAGTGCCCAGCTGAAATTCAGCCCCGGCCTTGCTCCCAGCACCTGGAGCAGGGTCTGGGGACTGGGGCTCCTGGTGCTGCCGTTCCTGGGGCGTTTCCTGCTGCGAGGGGGCTGTGGGTGCCCAGCCCCTTCCCAGGACATCCAGCTGGGGCTGGTGGCACTTTTCAGCCACTCCTTTTTTTGTAAGGAAGTGCTGAGCCACGGAAATGCTGCCCAGAGGTGCTCGTTCCTCTCACCTCCACAGTCTGAAGTTTCATGTTCAATTTCAGAACTCAGCTAAAATGAAATTACCTGACTTTCAGCAGAAAAGCACAACAGAAGCCTCCTCCACTTCCCCCGCGTCCCCCTGTGTCCCCCTGCCTCTGTGTCCCTGACAGTTCTTGTCCCCTCGTGTCCCCCCATGTCCCCCGGTGTGCCCATGTCCCCTCGTGTCCCCATATCTCCCTGTGCCCCCCATGTCCCCCCACACCCCCGTGTCCCTACAGCCCTGGCACTGTTCTGTCCCCCTGTGTCCCCCATGTCCCTCCACATCCCCCATGTCCCCGTGTTCCTGATGCAGTTCATGTCCCCCCATGTACCCCCATGTACCCCCATGTCCCCGTGTCCCCCCATGTCCCCTCTATATCCCCATGTCCTCACAGCCCTGACGCTGTTCTTGTCCCCCCATGTCCCCTGTGTCCCCCGTGTCCCCGTGTCCCTGATGCAGTTCTTGTCCTCCCATGTCCCCCACATCTGCTGCGTCCCCCATATCCCATGTCCCCATGTTCCTGACGCAGTTCTTGTCCCCCTGTGTCCCCCACATCCCCCATGTCCCCACATCCCCTGTGTCCCCCTGTGTCTCTGACACAGTTCTTGTCCCCCTGTGTCCCCACATCCCCCATGTCCCCACATCCCCTGTGTCCCCCTGTGTCCCTGACACAGTTCTTGTCCCCCTGTGTCCCCACATCCCCCATGTCCCCACATCCCCTGTGTCCCCCTGTGTCTCTGACACAGTTCTTGTCCCCCAACATCCCCCATGTCCCGTGTCCCTGACATAGTTCTTTTCCCCCCATGTCCCCACATCCCCCATGTCCCCCCATGTCCCCCCTGTCCCATGTCCCTGGCACAGCTCTTGTCCCCCCACATCCCCCATGTCTCTGACGCAGCTCTTGTCCCCCATGTCCCCAACATCCCCCATGTCCCCCCATGTCCCCACATCCCCTGTGTCCCGTGTCTCTGACACAGTTATTGTACCCCCACATTCCTGTGTCCCCCACATCCCCGTGTCCC